CATCTGTTGTTCTTACACACAGTTACTAGGACTGTGTGTCATAAACAGTATATAACAGCTGAAATAATATTTGATTAAATAAGATATTTTACCACCCCTACAGGGGAGGGCAATAAACATCTTAAAGTATCAGAAACATAAATTCCCAGCGGGCTGGGAATAGAATTTACCTATAGAATCACAACACAACTTAGTCAGCCAACGCTAGCTTGATATTACTGTTGTTCTTTAAAGAGCAGAGAGGAGTTATAATATAAACAACAGTAGCTAAATACTGTTTTCAACATATTTATCAATTTGACATGTCCCGTCTAATTTAGAAGCTGTTTGCTTTAAATTGCTGCACATACTATAAAATTAAAGTAATCCTTATTGGTTATGGTTTTAATTAAAATTATGTCAATACCATACAAAAGGCTATTTATAGGCTAATGTTTTTGTTTCTAGGGTCCTGTTTTCTGTTTCTAGGGTCCCTGACTGTAATGTCTAAAATTTCCTGTTATCTCCTTCATTTCTCACTTTGCCTGGTCCCAAATCAGTTTCCTACTTATTCTGTCCAAACTTATAAAATATTGACAGACCTTTGCTTGTTGCTCCGTGCCCTGACAGAGCACTACTGTTCTGATAGTGTTGTCTTTTTCTCTCTCTTTCTCTGCTTAAGGATCAAAGACGCTTAACTGTATTTTGTTCCGGACTGTTTGAAGCAGTTTGTTTAGGGAGTTTTGCAAGTCTGTTAATTCATTACTAATTAAAAATAAAACAATGATTGTGCATGACAAATAATATTAATAACCTAATATTATAATAAGCTCCTTTTTTATCAACAGAAAGGTCAAAAATCAATTTTCTTTCCATTTTGAACAAAAAGTCAAAATTTTTCTTGTCTTCATAATGTATGCCTTTCTTGTTATTCCACCTCTTAAGGAAAGACAGAAAATGCTCTCAGAATATTCAACAGCTTAAAATCATAGCAGGTTAGATTTACACAGTGGCAATCAAAAAAAATCCAGGATCTGTTCCATGATGCCAGCAACACCAGGAGCATATGGCAAAGCATAAAGGTATTTACAGTATACAACTCTACAAGTCCCCGGTTGGACTCAACAACTTCTTTGGGAGGTTTGAGGCACCAAACAGGATTCCAGCAGTGAAAGCTGTTTCCCATGTGTGGATGTTGTTCCTGAACTTCAGTTTAGCTTTCAACACCATCATCCTACAGCATCTGATAGGGAAACTGGAACATCTGGGTGTCAACACACCCCTCTGCAACTGGCTGCTAGACTTCCTCACCAACAGTCCTCAGTCAATCCGTGTTGGAAAAAAACATCTCTGATGTCATCGCCACGAGCACAGGGTCCCCTTAGGGCTGTGTCCTGAGCCCCCTTCTGTTCACTCTGATGACACATGACTGCGTCCCCAGGTTCACCATCAATCAAATCGTGAAGTTTTGGAGATGACACTAAGGTGGTGGGCTTCATCAGAAACTACATGTACAATGACCAGGACTACAAAGAGGAGGTGGAGCAGCTGGTGAGCTGGTGTAGAGACAACAGCCTGACCCTGAATGTGGAGAAGACGAAGGAGATCATAGTCGATTTCAGGAAGACCGGCCTAACCACACTCCACTGCTCATTAACAGCTCAGCTGTGATGGTGGTGAGTTAACACCACCTCACTGGTCAAGAGGGCAGAGAACCACTTGAACTTCCTGCAGAGAATGAGGAGAGCCCACCTGCCATTGAGGAACCCACCTGCGCCATTATTTTTAAACTGGTTTCTTTTCTCCTAAACTGTTTACTTTCTGACCACTGCGGCACTTTATAAATGGCAATGTTCATTTCACAATTTTTAATGTTGTAAGCTGTATGCAATGGAATTCCGAATCAAACCAGGCTTTCCCCAAAAGGATTACCAATTATTAATGTAGCTCACGTTGTTTTCAGGACACCACCTGGACAACCAGTGTTTGAATGCTGACATGCGGCTAAACATATCATCACTACTCAGATTAGGGAGGGGACCAGAGAAAATTATGGAGTTCGTCATTGTTGTATTGGCAAACTTACACAAGCGACACTAATTTTAGTGACCTCCGATCAGCGTAACCACGTGTCACTACCACCAGTGTCATTAACAATCTTATAGTATTTATCCTTATCCTAAACAGCAGTTTCAGGTAGGATTTGATGTCGCCTGTTCTGGCCCCCGGCAAACATTTGACTATGTTCCCTGCTGTCTCAAATGCCACGTTTCTGACTATGAAGCTGCCAATGACCAGAGTGGGCTTGTCAGTGGGTGTGTCACTGAGTGGGGAAAACCGCTTAGAAACGTGCAAGGGTTGGTGGTGACCATTGGGCAGAGATCCACTGGTCACCACCAACTCGTTCACGTTTCTAATCGATTTACCCCACTCAGTGACGAACCCCCTGAATAGCCCACTCTGGTGCGTCACTGAGTGGGGAAAATCAATTAGAAACGTGAACGGGTCAGTGGTGACCAGTGGGCAGAGATCCATGACTACGTTTTCTGCGTACTGTTACTCAATCGCCAGGCTGCTCAGGCACTTTTGGAGGACAGCTATGTGGGGGGCCTACTTTAACTCCTGGATGTTCAACAGCCTGAAGCCTGGATTCTAGCTCTTACACCCTCGCCTCCAAAGCTAAAAAAATACTACACTTATTACACATGCCATTATCACTAAAGGAGGCAGAGCAATAACTGAACATCTGACACAGAGAGCAGGACAGAGGAGAGGAAGAAGTAAGAGTTGGAAAAGAGTCAATGGAGAGAGAAAGAGAGGCCATAGCGATGCTAAGTTAGGCTAGCTACTCCTTATATAAATAAAACCATGGCCGTTTCTAAATATGCGTTCTTGAGCGTTCTTGTGTGCTTGTGACACGTCATTAGCCTAAGCCCGAGCACTGTTCCAATTGCAGAGAACGCCTGACCGAGAACGTACCAAATCCCCGGATGTTTTTCTCGCCCTGCCCTCTTTATTGAGTATGCATCAGAGCAGACTTGTCCATTCTTGAGATTGACAGCTGTTCCAGCATGCACGGCGGCAGCAGCAGCTTTCAATGGAGCGCTCCATTGAATGTTAAAAGTTCTCTTTTCTGTTGCTGTTGTTCAAGTACGTTTTAAGATCATTTGAGGCGAGAATATTATACTTTAAAGCATCGCTCTATGGTCCATTTACTGATTGAATGCGTAATTAAAAAACAGATTTCCAAAGTTGAGAGGACCGCGGCAACCAGTGGAGCTCCAAATCTAACAGCAGCCAGGGCTAACTGCAGCCCGTCTGCAGCAGCCCTTTTTTGTTTTATTTGGCAAAATGTTAATTAAATTTGTGTTTATCTGACTGTGTTAAATATTATTCCCCAGCCAAATTAGAAAAGTCAGAACTTATTATTATCTAGAGACTATTAATAACATTAAGTGAAATGCAGCTCTAGAAGAGCTGAGCGTGTGATGACATCACAACTACGCTTCTGTTCCAATTGACCCATATTTATGCTGCCTGCTCCCGTAATCTCCAAGTCCAGACTTTCCTGTGTTCTTCTCAAGATCCTACTTGGCGAGAACACCAGTCCGTACTCGCGTTCTAGTGAATTGAGAAACGGCCCGTGTGAAACTGACAAGTAGAGAAGTGCAGCAGAAGGCGCTATGTTTTCAAAGTGGTTCTGGACATTTAGAGCTATTTAGATACAGAGATGTCACAGAAAAAAAGAATTTATTTTAGATGGAGATAGTCTGCACAGCAACAGCACTGCTCAGTAGTCAAAACAGGAATTAAACATGATATTTCTCTCCAACAGCAGCAGGAGCACCCTCTATTGGCAGGCAAGGATCAAATAAATATTATATTTTCTTATTCCTTAAAAGATGACTTGAAAATTATACTGAACTTAATTGCGTTACAGGGTATACTTTGGTTGTGCCAACAAGGAAAATATTTCACTTGAGGTAATACAGTATAACTTTCCGGTATAACTGCGCTTCGACTTGGTGATCATTTGAGGTAAGTGAAAAAGATGTTTGAACATCTTTAGTACGTGTTGAATACAGATGTTGAATGCATACAAAACATTTATATACTCTCTTAAGATGAAAGGTTTACGACAACTTATTGGTTACTTTTGCCTTTATTGTGTTCACGCTCAGAACATAGGACCAAGAATTCAGGCGAGATAGACAGTGGTATATTCAAAAAAGAGTTTATTCATAAAGCGTGCGGCTGCTTATCTGTTGTGTCGGGCTCACTGGAAACTCAGTCATAAAAGGGTCAGGTCAGTGACTTCAAAACTCAACTGATGGATGATAATTAGTATGAAAGCCACCAACCTGGCAAAGTTCAGTCTCTGCCCATAAGGAGTGTCATCCAGAGCAGCGGAACTGCACAAAAGATCCAGGAGAAAACAGAAGCAGTGTCCTTCAGCAACCAGAGTACCCATGGAGCCGCTAGATCCATGAGGGTAATCCAAGCCGTGGCCAGAAGACGCTGGCCACGGCTTGGCAGGCAGAATACAGTTATCAGTCCAGATCAAACAGAACAGGCAAACAAAGCAAACGGGGCGGTTGAAAAACTCCGTGGTCCGTGGACATTAAACAGATCAGGAGGAGGCAGAACCAAACAAAGGAAATGCTAAAGGTAGTCTTCCTAGAAAGGTGGAATAAGCTGGCACAAAACGCTGGGATCCAGAGGCTTAAATAGCAGCAGGTGCAGGTGGATGAGATGAGAGCTGAGCAGAGGGCAGAGCAAAGCAGAGGAGAGCAACAAAAGCCAGACTTAAGATCATTACATATGATCTTGGCACCTTAAGTCTGTTTTTTTTCTCCTCATGAATATTTACTGATTAAACTGGCTCTGAAACTTGAGCAACTGAAACTTCTCATAAAAAAAGATTTATATCTTACTATGTTTTATGTCTTGATTAGATTTTTAGATAGCTGAGAAACAAATTTTCTATTTTTATTATTTTGTTGATTTCTGAGTCTACTCACCCACTGAAATGGTCCACACAGCCATGATCTTAATTCGAGCCTTAGTGTGAGAATTGAAACGGCTGTGGTGGATCGGGTTTCTTATGGCGATGTATCGATCCAGTGAAATGGCGCAGAGATGCATGATGGATGCTGTGGAAAACAGCACATCCAGGTAGATCCAGATAGGACAAAGGTCAAAGGGGAGAGGCCATTTGTAATCTACAGAGAAGGTGCAGAAAAATAAGAACAAAATATCTTTAGTATGGAACACCCCATCTGTGGAATCAGATTTAGAATCAGAATAGCTTTATTTGTCAATTCTGCCTGGACTTTGCACTCCAGTAGGGCGAGATTGAGTTTCAGTACAACCCATCAACACAATACAAAGACATTGGACATAGAGTGACACGCTGTCCACAGCCTTTCTATTTTTACAGGTGCTGCCCTTACATTAGTTAAGAAAAAAACAAGAGGAAATAATCACAATCGGTAAAAAGAAGGTAAAAAAAAAAATCACATTCTACCCAATACCCTTGCAGGACACAGTTGAGACTGCAAAAAACCTCAGAGGAGCAACACAGATACAGATACAAACCAACATATTGCAGAGGATTGGTTCATGAAGAACTGCCCTAGAGGCCATTGTTCTTGATATTAAGTAGTAGTATTCATCAACAAGCCACATTCAGAGATTTCCTCAAGGAAGGTACAGAGGGAGTAGAGCACCACGTTTACATACCGTATTTTCACGACTATAAGGCGCACTTAAACGTCTTTTTTTCCCCTCAAAATGTGCGGTGCGCCCTATGGTGCGGTGCGCCTTATGTGTGTTGTAACTGCGACTTTTGAGACCATTGAGGAGATGATGAAAGAGTGGCTGAATGTAAGGAGACCAGGTGTTTTTTTCCCACTCATCACCATTAATCTGTAACTCCATGCGTGCCCATCTCACAGCTGATGTGAAAAACATGGGGAAACAAATTAACCCTGTGCTCGCTGTTCAACCGCTCGACATCGGTGTGAACCGGACCCAGCAGGTGCAGCAGAAGCAGCGAGTTTACATGCAAAGTCAATGGTTGACGCGCGTATAGGTGCAGCAAAAGGTCCTGCAGCACGTTTTGAGCCGCAGGTGCAGCACGCCGGGATCGTTTAAGCATCTGACGCACCGCCAACGCGCTGCTGCTGCTCCAGATGGAAAATTTTAAGTTTTGCTGCTGGACGCGCCGCATCAACCAATCAGAGAAACTGATCTGGGAGCTGAAAGCTAGACAGACACAGCGCTCTGTTGAAAGAGGAGATGATGAAAGCGTGGCTGAGGCAGGTGTATGTGAGGAGACCGGGTGCTTTTTTCCACGCATCACCATCGCTGCGTGCCCATCTCACAGCCGATGTGAAAAAAAAGGTGAATCAATGAACGCTGTGCTCGCCGTTATCCCGGGGGGTCTGACAAAGGAACTTCAACCGCTCGACATCGGTGTGGAGCGGCCGTTCACAGTAAGGCTGCGAGCGGCGTGGGAGCGATGGATGACAGACGGAGACCACAGTTTCAGGATAATGGGAAGGCAGCGCCGGGCAAGTTAGGCCACAGTTTGCGGATGGATTGTAGATGCTTGGACTAACGTGTCTGCTGGCTCTGTTCTTCAAGCTTTTGCAAAAGCCGGCATTATTTCTGAGGAGCCGCGCTGCACGGAAAGTGACTGACAGCGCAGATGGGGAAACTGGCATGTCTGATTTAGCGCAGCTGTTTAATTCAGAAACAGAGGATGATGACTTTGATGGGTTTGATTAATACTTTGTAATAAATAGCCTACATGAATAAAGCACAATCATACTCAGTTTTGCTCCCGCTGTATTTTTCTACCTGAAAACTTAATTCAGCAGCAGCCTCTGGGCGCGTCTCCTCCTCTTCAGCGCGGTGACTGGCAGGTGTTTTTTCATCTAAATAATCTAAATCTTGCAGCTATATTTGCTGTGATCAGTGGGAATAAAGTAGTTTTAATATGTTTTTAAGTGAGAAAGGCCACCTGAAAACGTAATAATTGCAGTCAGTTCATCCAGATTATCTATTTCTGTCGGAGGCGCTCAGACCCCCACATACCAGCGGTGCACCGACAGTAGAAATCCTTTCGTTCACCTTGGCAGCTGGCAGGTGTTTTTCATCTAAATAATTGAAACTGCAGGCACCAGGATACCGGTAATAAAAGCGAACATATTCTGTCGGCAGGTTTCAGGATTTTAAGTTAATTTAGGAGTGACCACAGCGCTGTGTCATCTGCGATGTGTCTGTCTCACGGCCAGCTGCCAGGTTTGATTAATACTTTGTAATAAATGCATGAATAAAGCACAATCATACTCATTTTTGTCCCCGCTGTATTTTTAAATACGCAGTAGAGGTATTTAAAGGTAGTAGAGGACATGTACCTGTATATAAAAAACGCGCCCTATAGTCCGGTGCGCCTTATGTGTGTGTTAAATACAGAAATGGGACACATAACTGAGAGTGCGCCTTTTAGTCCGGTGCGCCTTATGGTCGTGAAAATACGGTAATATCCAGGAGAAATGGAAGTTATTTGCCCCTCAAAGATGTGCATGGATTATCTTGCAACAAAAATAATTGCTCAAAAATTCAATCATGTACACATCTTCTAAATGCTTGACTGACATCACCAGATACATAATCTTCCAGTGCTGCCAGGAATCCTTTGTGTATCAAGAAAAAAAAAAGTCTTGTCTGGACAGGAGGCTACCCTTAAGCCCCTTAAGCTTACAGTTAAGAAAACCTGATCAATTGCATTGAGGGACCAGCTGACCAGAGCCATAACTCCTTCTGCTTTTGGAAGTTATGTTGCCAGGGCTCACCCACCACTTCAAAATGGCGTGTTGGTTGGAGACAGTTTCCTTGGATTGGGAAACTGGGATGCTGGTTCTTCTTAATAAGAAGGGAAACTGAAGGGTGTGTTCCAGCTAAAGGGGAATGACATGAATGGCCTTCAACTGATACGAAATGCTGCAGCCAGAGTTCTGATGAAAATTAAAAACTGAGATCATATCTCTCCTAGAGTTCTTTGGCTTCCTTTTAAATCAAAAATAGAAGTTAAAATCCTCCTTCTCACATATAAATCCTTAAATAGCCAAGCTCCATCTTATATCAGAGATATGAATGTTGCTTATGTTCCTAACAGAGCACTTTGCTTTCAATCTGCAGGCTACTAGTGGTTCCTATTCAATTTTCAGTTCAATTCAGTTTATTTATATAGGGCCAATTTACAACACATTTCATCTCAAGGCACTTTACAGTTCACCAGATCATAAAGTCAAATTGATTTAAAGTTTTCTTTCTGAGGAAAACCAGTTAATTGCATCGACTCATTGACTCAGACGCAATCCCTCACACTAAGAATGCTTGTAGCGGCAGTGGAGAGGAAAAACACCTTTTAACAGGAAGAAAACTCGAGCAGAACCAGGCTCAGTGTGAGCATAGAATAGAATAGAAGGCAAATCTTTTAATTATTAGGCTCCTCTCCTTTGCAACCAACTAGCAGTTTTAGTATGTGATGCAGAGAGCCTGTTTGCTTTAAAGGGTAGGCTTAAAATTTTACTTTTTTGATAAAACTTATAGTTAGAGTGGCTCTGGTTATCCTGAGCTATCTTTATAGTTATGCTGCTATAGATTTAGATCGCTGGTGGACATAGGGACCCCTTTTTCATCATTCTGCTTCATTTTGTCTCTATTCGTCCACTCTGCAGAATTTGTTAGTTCAATCTCTAACACTATGCTCTCTCTGCTTTTTTCATAGTAGCTTCATCTGGCCTTGTCTTTTCTTGGGTGGCAGTGACAATACCCTAAAGAGAAATATCGACTGTGCTGCTGCCATAAACACCTTTTTTTTATAGATGTTTGAGAGCGGCCTGTTTTTCAGAGTAGCCCTGTTTCTCTGACTGCGACTTGCTGGATCTACTCTCTTCGTCTTTTGACAGGAGCTGGCTCGGAGCACCTCTTCCTGGCTCTGTGTTTCCTGGAGGGGGCCACCTTTGGAGCTGGTTTACAGTTGCCTTTTGTAACTCTGCTTCTTTTCCATGTCTACCTTTGTCTCCTTGAACCCCAGTTGGCCTTGGCAGATGACCGTTCACACTGAGTCTGGTTCTGCTGGAGGTTTCTTCCTATTAAAAGAGTTTTTCGTCTCCACTGTCGCTACAAGCATGCTTAGTGTGAGGAATTGTCTTCCAGTCAATGGGTTGATGCAATCAACTGGTTTTCCTTTGATAGAAAACTTTGAATCAATTTGACTGCATGATCCGGTTGAATTGTAAAGTGCCTTGGGATGAGATGTTGAGAATCTGCGCTATATAAATAAACTGAATTGAAATAGAAATTTCAATAAAGAGTTTCATCATCAAAAAATTCTGTTCTGTCTGCCTGAATTCTGGGTCCATTTGTCTTAGCCCTGACACTAGGAGGTGACTTTAATAGACTTGCTGCACATCAGTGGCTATGAAAAGCTAATTACACCCTGATCAAGCCCTGATTAAGGTTATGAGTCAATCAAACACACACACTAAATCGTTGCTAAATATGACAGAGTATAGTCATTTATATTTGTGGAAACCACACTGCTGCAAAGAGCAATGGAATACGGTACTGAATGTTAATATGAATAGTAAGATTTTAATTCTAATACATTAATGAGAGCACATCTTTAGGGACCATTTATATAAGGGCAGTTTAAACTACATATTAAAGGCACTGACTGCTTAAGCCAAAGTGGGTAATACAGATAATAAAAGAAAGGGAAAGCAAGTTTAGGTAGAAACTGTTTTAACAGCTATGCCGCAACAGTAGTCGTAATCATGGAAACATTTACAAAAAAAATTGTAACAGAACAATACCATAAGCTGGGATAAAGAAGTACAAAGCTTCAAAGTCTTAGACAGTAACTGGTAGAGGTTGAATTGATTCTAAGTAATATAAAATACCATGTTTTGCTTTGGTTTCTTACAGAGAGAAGGTTCTATGTCATTTTTATAGTTTTTAAAAATCCCAAAATATAGACTACATGTGTAAACTGCTAAAGCTAACAGGCTTCTTTCTAAATATTTTTAACACAACATTCAAAGTACCACCATTCCTTATAAATAAAATTGGGGTTTCCTATTCTTAAATGTGATTGCCTGAGCCACATTCCATCACTGCTGTAAAATATAGAGTAACCCACACTTAG